TTTTCTCATCCAGTGTCTTCAGTAGAAAGAGAGAGACACGAAGAAACAATAAATGAAAATGAGGTTGATGATTTGATTTTAATTTATCATGCGATTAATTGATTTGTTTATCGTGACTAAACAGTTAACACGACAAGACAATTTGTTTACAATTTACAGCTTCAACAAACTATAGCCACCAAGTACAATGTCCAGTTGGTTCTTTGTCTTTGTCTGAGGAGGTTTTGGAGCGATTGTTGATGAACTTCCTCAGTTCAGTTCAGTTTATTGATATAGTGTCAAGTCACAACAGAAGTCATCTCAGGGCACAGATCTCAGGTCTGCCATGCTGAGGACCTACTGCAGTTCATGTACCGGGACAGGGAGGGTATGGATGATGATATCCTCTAGCTTCTACACAGGGCTCACTATCATCTGGACAAGTGGATCAGCGCTGCGAGGGTTGCGTTTTTTAACTTCTCTAGTGCCTTCAACACCACCCAGCCCCTACTTCTGAGAAACAAGCTGGAGAAGATGGAGGTGGACACAAATCTGGTCACCTGGATTAATGGCTTCCTCACTGACAGACCACAACATGTCAGGATCAGGGACTGAATTTTCAAATACAGTGGTCAGCAGCACGGGAGCAGCACAGGGGACAGTACTCTCTCCAGTAATGTTCACTTTGATTAATTCGCACAAGGCAACCGGCCCAGACAACATCCCCAGAAAAGTGTTGAAAGAATGTGCCGATCAGCTCTGTGAGGTGCTGGCAGACATCTTTAACACCTCACTTACCCTGGAGACAGTTCCCACCTGCCTGAAGACTGCCACCATCATCCCAGTCCCAAAAAGCTCTACAGTGTCTGATCTGAATGACTATCGGCCAGTGGCCCTCACCCTGATAGTTGCTAAATGCTTCGAAAAACTGGTCATGACTCACATCAGAACAACCATGAACATCAACGAGGACCCTCATCAGTATCCATACCGTGAGAACTGATCAACAGAGGACGCCATCTCCTCTGTGGTCCACACTGCACTCAACCACCTGGAGCAGAAGGACTCTTACATCTGTATGCTCTTTGTGGACTTCACATCCACCTTCAACACCATGATCCCCCAAACCCTGATGGACAAAATATTCACACTAGGACTAAGCCCCTCCATTTGCAACTGGGTCCTAGACTTCTTAACAAACAGACCACAGCCAGTGAGGATCCACAACTTCTCCTCCTCCACCATAACCCTCAGCACGGGCTCTCCTCAGGGATGTGTGTTGAGCCCCCTCCTGTTTACTCTGCTCACATATGATTGTGCAGCTACCCATCCAGGCTGTCACATTGTAAAGTTTGCAGATGATACAGCAGTGGTGGGATGCATCACAAACAATGATGAGTCCAGCTACAGGCAAGAGGTGGAACACCTGGAGAGCTGGTGCAAAGAGAATAACCTTCACATCAATGTGAAGAAGACAAAGGAGATGATTGTGGACTTCAGAAGGAACAAAACACCTACACCCCCCTGAACAAAAGAGGATCTGCGGTGGAAGAGGTCTCCATCTACAAGTACTTGGGTGTACAAATGAATGACAACCTCAGCTGGAGCAACAACACCACCAGCCTGATCAAGAAAGTTCATCAGAGACTCTACTTCCTCAGACGGCTGAGGCG